GATAACTTGGCGAGTTGGGAGTCAACTCGACGAGCTGAGCCAACCTCCACGAGACTTCTGAGGAAATGAGGGGACTCGACGAGTCACATGGCTGCACTCGGCGAGTCAGGGCAAATATAGGACTGTTGACTCAGGTTTGACTTCTGTTGACTTTAGGGTTTGGTCAACATGAGTAATGGAGACCTTGGAGGGGTAAAATGGTCTTTTACCCATTCCAAGAGTTAGAGAAAGAGGGAGAACAACCTTGGGTGTATTTGAGTATGAGTAGGGTACTGATTAGAGATAATTATTATATGTGTTAGGTGGAGGCTAGTCCGAGATGCAGTGTACGTGATTATACTAGCTAGCTTACGAGGTGAGTCTTCTCACTATACTTACCATGAGTGGTATCTTTATGTGACAGAGATGTTCTACGTGTTTACATTGTGTATTGTGATATCTTGCATTACTTCATTGTGATTTATGTTGTATATTATTCAGAGCTTACAGAGTTCGGACCGGATGGTCCATCAGATTTGTGGGACTGGAGGGTCCCACTGAGACACATTGACCGGAGGGTCTTACTGTGTCATAGACTCAAGTTGCTACAGAGCTGTGTATGGTATTTTGGGAAATTCACTAAGCTTCGTGTTTACCGTGTTGCGTGTTATGTGTTTCAGGTTTTCTCAGGATCACGGGAAGGCATTGGCTTGATTGTACACACCAGTGGAAGAGTTATGTTTTGAGGATCCTGGATTTTTAATCAAATAATTATGGAGTTGCGATTTGTAAATTAAATAAATGAGACTTATTTGTGAAATGTGCTATGAGAATTATACGATTTTAAATGAAATTTGTTTTTGAAAATTTACGGTTTTACATTACACCTTTCTGTGTCAAAGTGGTGAGTGGTTTTGTGATCTTGGTGAAGCTTTGAATGAATTGTCTGTAGTAGCCTGCGAGGCCTAAGAATTGATAGATTTCCGTTGGTGTTTTTGGTGCTACCCAGCTTTCGATTGCCTTGATCTTAGAGGGATCTACATGTATTCATTTTTCACTGACTACATGAACGAGGAAGTCCACTTCTCGGATCCAAAACTCGCACTTTGACAACTTCGCATATAACTTTTCCGCTCTTAAAGTCTCTAAAACTTGTTGTAGGTGTTAATTGTGTTCTTCCTTGCTTCGTGAATAGACCAAGATGTCGTCTATAAAGACAATACGAGCTTGTCTAAGTAGGGTCGACATATGCGATTCATCAGATCCATGAACATCGCAGGTGCATTTGATAATCCGTAGGGCACCACCACAAACTCGTAGTGACCATAACGAGTTCAGAATGTTGTCTTGGGAACATCTTCTTCAAGAACTCGTAGTTGATGGTATCAGGATCTTAGGTCGATCTTTGAAAAGTATTTTGCTCCCTTGATTTGGTCGAACAAATCGTCGATTCTTGGTAGGGGTATATGTTTTTGATGGTAAGTTTAATCAGTTCACAGTAGTCGATGCACATACAGAAAGATCCATCCTTCTTTTTCACGAACAGAACCGGTGCTCCCCAAGGCGAGAAGCTTGGTCGGATGAATCTTTTGCTTAGTAGTTAATTTAGTTGGCTTGTTAGTTCCTGCATTTCTGCTGGTGCTAAACGGTAAGAGGATTTGGCTACAGGGGTGGCTCCAGGAATTAGGTCGATTCGGAATTCGAGTTGTCGCGTGGGTGGTACACCTGGAAGGTCTTCTGAGAATACGTCGGGGAAATTACAGACCTCCGGAATGTCTTTGATGTTTTTCACTTCTTGTTTCTTATCCACAACGTCGGCTAAGAAGGCATGGTATTCCTTGTGGAGATAATTTTGAGCTTTAACGCAATAGATTATTTGTAAGTTTGCACTAGGTTTGTCGCCATAAATCATGAGAGTTACGCCACTTGGCAGATTAAGGCGAACGGCCCTTTCTTAACACAGGATATCGACATGGTGAAGGTTTAACCAATCCATACCAATGATGACATCAAAACTTCTTATAGTGATCGGCATTAATCGATTTGGAAAGAGTGTTCATTTAGAGTTAGTATGCATCCTATGTACATATCCTTAGTGCCTTCAGTTTTACCATTTTCCATTTCTACTGTGAATATTTCATTGAGTGATTGTGGTTTTTGATTGAGCACGTGTTTAAATTTGTGGCATACGAAACTCCTCTCCGCTCCACTATAGAATAGTATGCATGCATATGAGTTATTGAGGAGAAACGTACCGGTAACCACTGTGGGGTCTTCAACTGCTTCTCCGTTTCCTATGTCCAGGACTCTTCCTACACCACCAGCATTGGTGTTTCTTGTCTTTAGGCAATCTCTTTTGAAGTGCCTAGTCTCCCCACAACCATAACAGGCTCGGCTTGCCCCGGTATTTGCGGCTTGAGTGGTCTGTTGGGTTGGTGCTTTACAGAAGCGGGTTGTATGACCCTTCTTGTTGCAGTTGTTATAGTGCATTTCCCGACAGGCGCCGGTGTGGTGAAAGTTTCACTTGGGTAGATTTCCAGCATATTGTCTCAAGGGTGTTGCAGGAGTAATGGCAGCGTGGACGGAAACTATTTGTTGTTTCTTGGCGGGATCCTACGTCGGTTGGTTCTTCTTTCTATTCCACAATTTTCTTTTATTGTTGCTCCCATTTGTTTGCTTCGGGACTCGGACCATTACGCCCTGACTGACTCCGTGATCGATAAGTTTTTGGGCCAAGCATGTTAAAAAGTCAAGAGTCAACAGGTAAGCATGTCGCGACCTAGCTGCTCGTCATGTCACAATTACTAGGGGACAAAATAGTCACGACCCAACTTAAAAACTCATGTTGCGACCCTTCCTTGATCGCATTTCGCTTTCCGAGGCAGAACCATCGTTCTATTAAGCACTTAATCCATTAAGACTAAGGCCCATATTCTTAGATCTGAATCAAACAAGGGTCTTAATGTATAAAGTTTCCTACTATTAGTATGTGCAGCTCAATTAAGTAAAATACTAAGCTCTAAATCTAAAGGAGTCGAAAATGGCCAAAACTTTGTGCATGGCTCAAAGAGGGCCCAATCATGTAATCAAATGACCCCAAAAGATAAACAAATCAACCAAACAAAAGCATAACTCTACAATCCTTTTACCCATGGTAGAAAAAACTAAAGAGAAGGAACAAGAAAGATACATTCGGAGATAGCCGATAACAATCAAAGGAAAACAAGAACAATTGAAGGGGGGGGGGGCTCTCTCTATTTACCCTTATTTATCTGAATAACAGGAGAGAAAATATTGATTTAACCATGTCATCACGAGGGTTAAACATATAAACTTCTATCTAGTGGGGTCTGAATTTCAAAAAACCTTATCTTCATTTAAATGAAATTATACATTTAAATATTTAAAAATTAACCTAAATATTTTGCAGGTACAATTTGAAGGCAATTGCTAAGGCCATGAGCCTCAACATTATTAAGGATTTCGGATCATCAAGAACTCTCAGGATCTTGTCAGGATCCTGACCATTATCATTATTATTATTTCATTACATTTCTAGCGGATATATTTCTAATCTTTTTGTCACACTTGCAGAAATAGTCAACATAAGACTAATTCTTAACGAAAAAATGCTTTTACCTGGAAGAAGACCCAGAAATACCAAGTCAAGCCAACATGTTCATTTTTATTCGAGAGGATCCCATAAATATCTGACTTATTGTTTCTTAGACTAGACTATAGATACACATGTACCTCACACACTAAACACATCTAGACTCACTGCAATACTTGTACTCGTTTGCTTACTTTCATTTTTGTAATCCATCTTTCAATTACTTTCATTTTTATCTGTTGTTGGATGGATATATGTTATTTCTTTTTTTCGTATGTAGATATACACTAGATCTTTGCTCATACACATCTATGTTGTCGACATATATGAATGCATATGAGATGGAGGGAGCTGAAAAATTCTTTAGAAGGATAAAGGAAAATGAACTTGAAACAAATGTTGTTACGTATCATACTCTAATTAAAGGTTATGCAAAAACAAATGATCTTGAACAATGATGAAGAAATATGCGGAAATTTAGATACATGGCGTTAAAGGTAATCAGACTATACTTACTACTGGTGCTATTTTTCAGATGCTTCGTGACTTAAAAAGGCACTCAATCAGTTTAATAATGGCAATGACGTGAGATTTCTTTTTTTTACATGTTCTTAACAACACAAGCATCTCATATTAATCACAATAAACCTTGGTGATTGTCGACGAAATTTGATACCAACAGAAATGTTAGTGTATCCCATATTGGTGCGACACGGTAATATAAAATGACTATATGTGTTAGAGTCTCCATTCTTTCCACGAGCTCTTTTGGAGAGACAATCTTGGGTTACGACATATATTTATATTTTATCAGAGCCGGCATCCTGTGCCCCTATGGCTCAGCTCATCCATGTCTATCCTCAATGAGTCTTCGATTATGAGAGGGAGTGTTAGTCTATCCCACATCGGTGCGACACGGTAATATAAGTTTCCATATATGTTGGAGTCTTCATTCTCTCCAGAAGAGCTCTTTTGGAGAGACAATCTTGGACTCTACATATATTTACAAGAAACATGAGTGCCATTCTCTTCTTTCCTATATATTTAGGTGTAATCTTTTTTCATGTAATCATTAGAAAAGGCAAACATATTCCCACATTTCTTTCATCTAATCTATGGAATTATTTATGTTAATTTGCTTTTATTAGACTATTAATACTCTCTAACAGTCACTAACAAAGAAAAGATACCAAAACGTAAAAAAGGAGAAATTAAATATCCTTTTACATTTTATTCCTATTTATCTTCCTACCATATTACACATGTGTCACATTTAATTACACATTTAGATTGGATGATGAGATGGACGTATCCGAATGCAACTTGTGTGAAGTCACGTCACTTTTCACTTATAGGTCCAAGATGTGGATCATATAGAAAGTTAAAGGAATTACACAGAGCTAGACACATGCGCACTTTCTTACTACTGCTAGATGGATTGGAATGTCACGGATTATTGGACAAGGTTCTTGTTGATATACTTCCTGGACTACAATATCTAAGGGTGCTAAGCCTGCGTACACCGAAAATCACAGAGGTACCACAATCCATTGGTCGTCTCATGCATCTCCGGTATCTTAATTTTTCCTTTACTGCAATAACATGTTTACCGGAACAAGTGAGTGACCTTTATAATCTACAAAGCTTGTTGCTTCAAGGTTGTTATCAGTTATCTGGCTTGCCAAAAAGTTTTGTAAAGTTGATAAACCTGCGTCACCTTGACATTACTGATACTCCAAAGGTGAACAAGATGCCCTTAGGGATTGGTGGATTAACGAGTCTACAAACTCTAACCAAGGTCATTGTTGATGGAGCAGACGGGTTCAAACTATCTGAGCTTCAGGAAATATCAGATCTTCAAGGTCAAATTTACATTAAGGGGCTCGACAAAGTGAAAAACCCAATACAAGCACAGGATGCCAACATATATCAAAAGAAGGGTCTTGATGATTTGGAGATGGAATGGAGTGATGTGTTTGATGATTCACGGAATGATTTGGTTGAATACGAAATACTTGAAAGACTAAGGCCTCACCATAAGTTGAGAACCCTGAAGATTTTGTATTACAAGGGAACGAGATTTCCTAGTTGGGTGGGCGATCCCTCATTTGATCGCTTAACAGAGCGCACATTATGTGGTTGTACAAGTACACATTTACCCACACTCGGACGTCTAAAGTCACTTGGGAAATTGATTGTTACAAGGATGAAGGAGGTGATGATTTTGGGTTTTGAGTTACTTGGACCCACAAGTTCTTTTGGTGACATTGTGTTTCCCTCACTTGAGTTTTTGGAATTTGATGACATGCAAGGTTGGCAAAAATGGTCAACTAGTGGCAACAACGACGATGAACCTGCTAGATCATTTCCTCGTCTCCGTGATATTTCTATAAAGCGTTGTCCGAAACTAGTTAAAGTGGCAATTGGATCGATACCATCACTTCGTGCTTTACATATAGAAGAATGTTCCGCAGAAATATTAAGAAGCATGATTGGTTTGTCTTCATCACTTTTTGCATTGCGGATGTCGAATGTTAAAGGACTTACTGAACTACATGGACAATATCTAACACATCTGGTGGCAGTTCAACATCTACATTTTGATAATTGTCATGAATTGAGATACTTATGGCTAGACGAATCGGAGTCATGCAGCCTTGCGAGTTTACAGAAGCTAGAGGTACATAATTGTGTCATACTCAAGAGTATTATATGTCCAAATAGTGTTAAGAGGTTAGTGATAAGTAATTGTGATTCAATAGAATCCTTGACGTTCTCAATAATTAGTGAGAACCTCATGGGTTTACTTCCCCTGATTTTTCTAAGATCTCTTCACATCGATAATTGAAATAATCTGAACTCGTTTCTTCATGAGCATTTGGAAAGTTTTACATGTTTGGAAGAACTGAGGATATCTGATTGCCCAAGTCTGGATTACACCTTTCCTTATGGCTTTTGGCATCCAAATTTAAGAAGCCTAACGATCGGATGCTTAAATAAGCCCATGTCAGAGTGGGGCCTACAAAATTTTCCAACCTCTCTAGTTGAACTCATCTTACGTGGCAAAAATTCAGGAGTGGTGTCATTTGCAGTGGCAGAACATGTCAGGAATGACACTACTTCATCATCTTTTCTTCTTCGATCATCACTAGCTTCTCTAGAAATTGATGGTTTTACGGATGTGGAATCACTTTCGGAGGCCTTACAACACCTCACTTGCCTTGAACGCCTTCATATTCAGTCATGCCCAAAGCTTAGAGACCTGCTTGAGCCAACTTACAACCTATCATCTTTCACAGTAACGGTGTGCGACTAGAACAGGAAGTCATCTCCTTTCCCATCACCCTTATGCTTTACACAAGTACAAAAAGTATGGTTATTAGTATAATTAATGTTTGTTAACAAATGTTCAGGAGGGTAATACAACTTGTATCCCTCTTCCAATTTTGAGGTTAAAAGTTTTCCTGTTTTTGTGATAACATGATGATTAACCTTTGGAGACCATCAATAATTGTATTTTTTGTGTTGTTATCATTTTCCTTTTCCCATAACTGTCCTGCCTTTTCATTGGAATTCTTAAATCTCTGATAAGAACCTATATTTCTCACGACAAATAGATATCAAGAGTACCATAACAAGCATGTTGATGTGCAACAAACTCCAAAGATGACAGCTGTGGGTATCAGGTATGGTTCGTGATTATGGTAGTACCATAAGGATTCTGTAAGTCTATACATTCTAAATTTGTACGAATATTTTGTCAACTTTTTTCTTCTCATTAGTAATCAATGGAAGTTTATGAAATCATATGATTTTAGCTCACAAGTGTGTCGACTAAACCAAGTAGTGGTAATTACATAAACTTTTTGTTTATGAAATGTGTTTTGAAGTGATTAAATCAGTTATGAGTATTGGTGTATTAATATAACTATATAACTTTAATTATAGTATAATCATCCATGTATTATTTAATAGTATATTTTTATTCATTTGTGAATGAAATTGTAAAATCGAATAATATAAGAAAAATTGTTGATTTTGCTTTTATTTTTTTATAGAAAATTGATAAAAATTACTTTTATACTCCAATAATAAAAAATCACTTAAAATTTATTTTTATGAAAATATCGATAACTATGCAACGTCAAATAAATCTTATATTTTATAAAAAGTTCATTCTTGAATTATATTAATAAAAACACATAATTCTTTTAATTTAATTTTTTTTTGAGATAAAAGATTACAACATTATAAGAAACTATCGTTTAGTAAAGCTGATTATATATATCATTAATGTAATTGTAATATTTTCCCTTAGAAAATAATTGGTCAACAATTAATCTTATGTTTTCGTTCTTTTTACATTCTCAAGTAGGCGTAAATGGGAAGGGGTTCGGGAATGCTTGATTTTTGTAAGAGAGAGAGAGAGAGAGAGAGAGAGAGAGAGAGAGAGAGAGAGAGAGAGAGGGGGAGGGAGAGAGAGAGAGGGAGGGAGGGAGGGAGGGAGGGAGGGAGGGAGGGAGGGAGGGAGAGAGGGCCCCATTATTTATTTGTTTTAACATTAATATTTAAATAAAAATAAAAGTTAACTATTAAAGAAAATGAAAAAACAAATTAAAAAGGTAGATTGGTCTTTTCAAGTTTAACAGGGACCAATTTCACAATGAAACTAGATGAAAATGACCATGAAACCAAAAAAGTAGAGGTTTGGACTAAAACCCCAAAAAAATACATACCACAAGGACCATTTTTGCAATTTTTTCTAAAAACTACTAAAAAATGGCCCCTGCAAGTGTGGATCAGTTGACAATTTCTATTGAAATACTAATGTAGGACAACCAACATCCATAACTAGGATGTGAATGGTAACAACCAAAAACATCCGCCAAGTCACATGGGAAATCGTAGAGAAAGCCTATGGTCCGGTGTGGTATGTGAAGGAGAAAGAAATCGTAGAGAAGAGTCTCGTTTACTTGGAAAGATGACCAAGTCACCTTTCACTGGTTCTTGTGAAAGAGGTGAGTGTTTGTTGGATCTCATACATACAGATGTGTGTGGGCCCTTCAGATCCACCACAAGGGACGCGAACCGCTTCTATGTGACTTTTACCGATGAATATAGCAGATATGGGTATATTTACTTAGTCAAGCATACGTCGGAAACTTTTGAAAAGTTCAAAGAGTTTGAGTAAGAAGTGGAGAATCAACTAGGTTGGAAAACCTAGAAATCTCGTTTCCAGTTTAATATGAACTATGATTCTCTTATTGGGCCTAATGGACCAATAAACCTTCAACTTGACTATCTTGGGCCTAGGAACCCTAATTGCGCTCTAAATGGTCCACATTCATAAAACTTTAGCATTTTGGACCATGTGGGCCTAAAATAATCCATTTTTATCTCTAATAGGTTTTGTTGGGCCATAAATGGTCTCATTTGCATTAATGGGCCGTAAACCCTTTTTATAGGGATTTATTGGGCCGTGAACCTTAATAGGGGCGCAATGGGCCGAAAAACGATTTTTGGGCTTCATAAATTCGAACAATATCAAAAATGGGCCAAATCACTTCATCCACATCTCTCTTAAGACCAATTCTCGGCCCACTATGCTTATTAGACAAAAAAAAGGAAAAATGAGGAAATTTGTGCATTAGACACCTCATGTTTGTATGGTGGTCTTCCATGCAAACATCACCTCACCATATCTCTCTCTCTCTCTCTCTCTTCTCTTATTAACCTCGGCCGAAACCCCCACCATACCACCTCCATTTCTCATTCAAACACTTCCAATACACTCTCAAGAAACTCCTCCTTCTTCATGTAGATTTTTCTAGGTTTGTGGGTATTATCAACAAGTTTTTCACCAAGATCATCATCTTTGGTAAGTTCTCACTTAGATCTATGGTTTAGCTTCTTGATTTCTTCAAAAATCTCTTCTTAAACCATAACATTTCATAATTTATACATTTTTGCTTCATAGAGTTCGAAAATCCTTCTCAAGAAGCTTCCTAGGGCCGAGATCTACTCATTTTACCACCAAGAACCGAAAACATCAAAGCAAAGTGAGTTCATACCCCTTGTTTTACGGTTTTACCTTGTTTTCAGGGGAGAATACAAGTTGATATGTGTTAGATCTATGTATTTGTGCATGTTTATGTGTGTTTTCTAAGTGTATATTGTGGTTGTGTAAAGAACTTCATAGATCTAGACAATATTTGGAAACTACAATACTTTATACAACTTACTATAAGGATAAATGTGCTAAACATGTGAAGATTCATAAGAACCTAAACAAAATCTTGAAAAAGAGACATTTTTGACAAATAACCAAAAAGATGAGACTGTTTTGGCATTTACGGTTTTACAAGGACTAAATGAGTCATTTTTACAAATGAAATGGGTTTTTACGATATTTTGGGTGATAAAGGGGCCAAAAACGTAAATTTTTGCATAATGGGCCTTAAAAAATGGCTTTTCGGTTTTAGTGGGCCAAAGTTGTAAAATTCCGATTTTCATGGATTAAATTGTTATTTTACACAAGTTTGAGGCTAAAATGTAAAACTTACGGTTTTATGGGTTGAAAATGGCATATTTTTTGGATTTGGGCTAAAAATGCAAATCTTTCCAAAACTTGGATCGAAAATGCCATTTTTATCAAAAATAGGCTGAAAGTATAATTCTTGGTAAAAGTGGGCCGAAAATAATATTTGAAATCTATTTGGACCAAAAATGTCAATTTTTATAAAAATGGGCCGAAAATAACATTATTTATATATTTGGGCCAAAAATGTCAATTCTTATAAAAATGGGCCGAAAGTAACATTTTATATATATTTGGGGCCATAAAAGTAAATTTCGTGATATTGGGCCTAATATATCCATTACATGTCTATTTGGGCCTTTGTGGCCGTTTACATGTTTGTTGGGCCTAATATGATTACAACATGTTAATTTGGGCCTTTATGACCCATTAACATGCTTAATGGGCCCGATCTATACATCACATGCTTAGTGGGCCATAGCTGCTCCCTTACATGTCTGTTGGGCCATATACATTCATATACCTATGTGCTGGGCTTGGCAAATCTTAACTATATATACGAAAACATTATACATAGCGTAATTCAATACTCGTGTGAAAACAATAAATAATCTAGTGAGACTTGTCGGTTGACACCTCTAGAGTGTATGATCGTAGTCTGTAGTTATAACCAGAGTCTCCTGGAGGGAGAGCAAGACTTTGTGTATAGATCCACACGGGGTGACTCCCCACACCTGAACTGTTCGCTACAGCTAGACTAGGCTAGTCTAGTGTGACAAACCTTTCCGTAAATCGAACCGGCGCCTACGATCGCCACGGCAGGCGAACTCGTCAAAAATCAAACATGGTTAAAAGGACTCACTTAGAAATCCTCTTAACATAATTTTATGGAATACCTATAAAATCTTGTGGATACAAAAACATACATATACTATAATTCGGTCTTAGGGTTGAGACCACAACACTTTTATAAACAGAAAATATTGGATTTTCTGGGTAATACCAGTTAAACAATATCTTTTACGTACTACAGAAAATACAGGGTTTTTATCTGGATTACATTTTCATGTATTTCAAATACAGAGAACACACATGCATTAATACTTGATTTTGATACAACACGTTCAAACCATTTTAAGAAAATATCGGATTTTCTGGTGTTTACAAACAATTCAAACTTTTCATTCAAATATGCTTATGAACTCACCAACATTATATATGTTGACATTTTTCAAAATGACTTGTATTCTCAGGGAATCGTTAAGAAGAAAGGTCAGCAGAAAATGGTGGAATTTGTTATATTTTGTTATCATCATACATTAAATATTTTGAACATGTAATTTATGATATTGTACTTGATGTAAACAATGCTGGTGGTATTTGATATGTATGATGATGATGTTGTCTTGTTTCAATTATTTACATTGTGATGATATTACAAGATGAAGTCACGCGCAAGCCCCCAGACGTTTTCCGCCGTCTGGTTCGGGGGTGTGACAATATCTATTTGCCACTGGTCGAGTTTTCATACAACAATAGCTATCATTCTAGTATCAAGGTTGCAACATTTGAAGCCCTCTATGGCCGGAAGTGCAGATCCCCTATGTGCTAGGCTGAGGTGGGTGACACACAACTAGCTAAAGGACAAGTTCCTGACAGCACTCTCATGGGTTCGGAAATCATTCGGGAAAGGACAGAGGAGATCGTTCAAATTCGTGAACGATTGAAAGCCTCTAGAGACCGACAGAAAAGCTACGCTAACAAGAGACGGAAACCTTTGGAATTTCAGGTTGGTGACCTTGTCCTATTGAAGGTCTCACACTGGAAGGGCTTGATACGCTTCGGAAAACGTGGTAAGCTAAATCCAAGGTACATTGGGCCTTTTGAGATTCTCGCTAGAATCGTCCCTGTAACTTACAAACTCCAACTACCTCAAGAACTTAGTAACGTACACCCTACCTTCCACGTATCAAACATAAATAAGTGCCTTTCTGATGAGACTCTTGTTATCTCACTCGATGAAATCGAGATCAATGAGAGCCTCAACTTTGTAGAAGAACCAGTAGAAATCATGGATAGGGAGGTCAAGCAAACGAAACAAAGCCGTATCCCGATAGTGAAGGTTCGCTGGAATGCAAAGCGGGGACCCGAATTCACTTAGGAGCGGGAGGATCAAATGAAACATAAATATCCTCATCTTTCCCTTAGTCTATGTGTATTTTCTTAATTCTAATTTCGGGACGAAATTCCCTTTAACATGGGGATGATGTGATAACTCGTAATTTCTTTCTTGTAAAAGTCAAACTTGGTCAACTAAAGTCAAAAACTCAATCAAGGGTCAAACTTATTTCTTTTATTATCTTAATATAGTTAGATGAAAGAGCTAAAAGTTTTTGGATCTAGCATTCTTAAGTATTATGTATTTTGGAAGGATAGCCTTTAAAACCATTTGGACCGAAGCCTTAGGCCGTGAACAGCCTCGGGCCGTGAACAGCCTTCGGGCCGTGAACACCCTGCGGGCCGTGATCCTCGGTTGGGCCGTCAACCTCGGTTGGGCCGTGCAGGGTCTAAAAGGTGTTATGAAACTGTTAACGGCATCCGATGCAGGGTCTAAGAGGGGGCAAAATGGTCATTTTACATTGGTAAAATGTCCACTATTAACAGCGTCCGATGCAGGGTCTAAAAGGTGTTATGAAACTGTGAATTAGGGATGAAGAAGGAAAATAATTTATTTTTTTCTGATCATATATAAAGTTAAAACGGAAATATAACACATGGACTAAAATGTGTTATGAAACAGTGAATTAGGGATGAAGAAGGAAAATAGTTTTTTTTTTATGACCATATGTGAAAGTTGAAATGGAAATATAACACATGCATTGTTATTTGCGGCATATGTAATTTTAAATGGATTTTCATCTTTTTACATGGTCAATAATCATGGTTTACCAAAACTTATTGTTATATTTTCTACTGCCTATCTTATTTTAGGCTATATGCTCTAACATTGAGAGAATCCTTTGGTTATGTGACAAATACAACAATTTTATTTTGAACTTGAAAGTAAGTTGTAACAATTTTAAATCATATTGCTATAATAATTTTAAATTTGATTGGTTTGCATTATAACCTTGTACTTTATAAATTAGTGTGAAATTAAACTTAATTATTGCATTTTCTTCCCACACATATACATATAGTGCAGACATGTAGTAACACCAATAAACAAATTATAACAATGTGCTTTCAAAGTACATTGTTATAGTTGGCATAAATCGAATATGTTTTTTTTAAATGACAACAGAAGATCTGATAATACATAGATGTGAAATAAAATTGAAAGTAGCGTGCTATAGAAATCATAATTGTTGACTCCTACTTTTATTTCCTCTTATTAAAACATGCTTTCTATTACATTTTCCATTTTCCTAAATTCTTGGATTCTTAATCATTTCTTTTTTCTTATTTTAGGAAAAAGAGGGTTTAAGAGTATGTGAAGAAACATGTGAGGGTATTTGCGTCTTTTTTTTATCAGAAGCAAGAGATACAAACTAAATTTCTTTTTTTTTATGTAGATGTACACTAGATCTTTGCTCATACACAATTATGTTGTCGACATATATGAATGCATGACATAGAGGAAGCTAAAAAATTCTTTAAAAGGATAAAGGAAGATGAACTTGAACCGAATGTTGTTACATATCATACTCTAATTAACGATTGTGCAAAGACAAATGATCTTGAACAATGATGAAGAAATACGAGGAAATGTAGATACATGACATTAAAGGTAATCAGACTATATTTACTAATGGTGTTACTTTCAGATGTTTCGTGACCTAAAAAGGTACTTAATCAGTTTGATAATAGCAATGACGTGCAATTTCTTTTTTTACATATTCTTAACAACACACAGATCTCATATTAATCACAATAAACCTTGGTGATTTTCAATTAAATTCGATACCACCAAAAATGTTAGTGCATCCCACATTGGTGCGACACGGTAATATAAATGACTATATGTTGGAGTCCTCATTCTCTCCATGAGCTCTTTTGGAGAGACAATCTTGGGTTCGACATATATTTATATGTTATCAGAGCCGACATCCTGCGCCCCCGTGGCTCAGTCATCCATGTCTATCCTCATTGAGTCTTCGATTATGAGAGGGAGTGTTCGTGTATCCCAAATCGGTGCGACACGGTAATATAAGTTTCCATATATGTTGGAGTCCTCGTTCTCTCCAGAAGAGCTCTTTTGGAGAGACAATCTTGGACTCTACATATATTTACAAGAAACATGAGTGTCATTCTCTTCTTTCCTATATATTTAGGTGTAATCTTTTTCCATGTAATCATTAGAAAAAGCAAACATATTCCCACGTTTCTGTCATCTAATCTATGGAATTATTTATGTTAATTTGCTTTTATTAGACTATTAATACTCTCTAACAGTCACTAACATCTAATCTATGGAATTATTTATGTTAATTTGCTTTTATTAGACTATTAATACTCTCTAACAGTCACTAACGAAGAAAAGATACCAAAACGTAAAAAAAAGGAGAAATTAAATATCCTTTTACATTTTATTCTTATTTATCTTTCTACCATATTAAATGTTAATATGTGTCACATTTAATGAAATTGATAATATTTTAATTCACTTGTCACCGTTTAATATGAGTAGGAAGATAATAGGAATAAAATATAGAAGGATATTTAATTTCTAAAAAAAATGGCCCTATTCCTAGTTAAAAGTAAAAGACAAAAAAAAAATCAAAAAATATATATACATAAAAAAAAAAATCCAAACATAAAATATATAGTAATAATCTAAGATCAGAGATGTAGTCGTATAGATCTCTGGATTCAAAGACTTAACTCAAAAGTCAACCCCGACGTTTCATCTTCCATTTATCTTTATTCTGAGATCAAAACTCCAGTAAAGGGACAATCCTCATTCTTCAGTTCACCAAATAGCAATGGCTGAAATCGTTGTTAGCGCTGTCATCACTGTAGTGTGTGAGAAGCTCATCTCCGGTGACTTCATGAAACTAGCTCGATCCGAAGGAATCGCTTCTCATCTGAACAAATGGAACAACACCTTGCCACTGATCCAAGCTGTGCTTGCGGATGCTGGCCAAAAGCAGATAACAGAGAGAGCTGTTCGATTGTGGCTGAACCGTCTCCAGGGTTTGGCTTACGACATAGACGATGTACTCGATGATTTGGCCACCGAAGCTATGCGACGCCAGTTGAATCATGAATCTCCTGCTAGCACCAGAAGCACGAGTAAGGTATTAAAGATCATCCCAACTTGTTGTACTACTTTCACTCCTCGCAACCTTATGTATGGTCAACGGATGAGTTCTAAGCTAGATGAAATTACCATCAAATTGCATGATCTTGCTGAGGTGAAAACTGGTCTGGGTTTAAATGTGAATGTTGAGAGGTCAAATAGAACGCAGAGACGGTTGGAGCAAACTTCAGTGGTTGATGAGTACATAATAATGGGTCGCGAAGGGGATTCAGAGGCATTGCTTGAGAAATTGTTAGGATATGAAGCATTAGATCGAAATGTCAGCATAGTGTCTATTATTGGTATGGGTGAAATAGGCAAAACTACTCTTGCCAAATTTTTGTACAACAAAGACAGTGTAATGGATCACTTTGAACTCAGGGCATGGGTTTGTGTTTCTGAACAGCTCGACGTATTTAATATTAGCAAGGCTATATTTCAAGCAATAACCGGGAAAAATGGAGATTTTGCTAATCTAGATATGCTTCATGTGGCCCTTAAAGAAAGACTAAGTGGCAGAAAGTTCCTACTTGTTCTAGACGATGTCTGGAACGAAGATCAAATTAAGTGGGACCTCCTGAAAAGCCCTCTTGTGGTAGGGCAACCTGGCAGTATAATTTTGGTGACAACCCGGAATATGAGGGTTGCATCGGTGATGTACTCTGATGAAGCTTACCATTTAAAGCTTTTGTCAAATGAAGATGCTCTATCTTTATTTGCTCAACATGCACTTGGTGAGAAAAACTTTGACAGCCATCCAACACTTGTATTGCATGGTGAAGGTATTGTGAAGAAATGTGGTGGATTACCTGTGGTTTTGAAAACGCTTGGTATGCTCTTGAAGGGAAATAAAAATGGAGACGAATGGGAGAAGCTGTTGAACAGTGAGATTCTTCCCAAGGATCTAAGACTAAGCTACTATAATCTCCCTCCACATTTAAAGCTGTTGTTTGCATACTGCTCCTTATTTCCCAAGGGCTATGTGTTTGACAAGAAAGAATTAATCCTACTGTGGATGGGAGAAGGATTTTTGTCCCAATTAAATGACCACACATCAATGGAGAGTTTGGGTCATGAGTATTTTGAAGAGCTAAAGGCGAGGTCCTTTTTTCAACATTCAACAAGTGATGAATTAAGATATACAATGCACGACCTGATAAATGATTTGGCCACAAGTGTTGCAGGAGAGTGTTTCTTTAGATTGGATGATGAGATGGACGTATCCATCAGGAATGGAACTTGTGTGAAGTCACGTCACTTTTCACTTATAGGTCCAAGATGTGGATCATATAGAAAGTTAAAGGAATTACACAGAGCTAGACACGTGCGCACTTTCTTACTACTGCTAGATGGGTTGGAATGTCACGGATTATTGGACAAGGTTCTTGCTGATATACTTCCTGGACTACAATATCTAAGGGTGCTAAGCCTGCGTACACCGAAAATCACAGAGGTACCACAATCCATTGGTCGTCTCATGCATCTACGGTATCTCAATTTTTCCTTTACTGCAATAACATGTTTACCGGAACAGGTGAGTGACCTTTATAATCTACAAAGCTTGTTGCTTCAAGGTTGTTATCAGTTATCTATCTGGCTTGCCAAAAAGTTTTGTAAAGTTGATAAACCTGCGTGACCTTGACATTACTGATACTCCAAAGGTGAACAAGATGCCCTTAGGGATTGGTGGATTAACGAGTCTACAAACTCTAACCAAGGTCATTGTTGATGGAGCAGATGGGTTCAAACTATCTGAGCTTCAGGAATTATCAGATCTTCAAGGTCAAATTTACATTAAGGGGCTCGACAAAGTGAAAAACCCAATACAAGCACAGGATGCCAACATATATCAAAAGAAGGGTCTTGATGTTTTGGAGATGGAATGGAGTGATGTGTTTGATGATTCACGGAATGAGTTGGTTGAATACGAAATACTTGAAAGACTAAGGCCTCACCATAAGTTGAGAACCCTGAAGATTTTGTATTACAAGGGAACGAGATTTCCTAGTTGGGTGGGCGATCCCTCATTTGACCGCTTAACACTTCCCCTGATTTGTCTAAGATCTCTTCACATCGATAATTGCAATAATCTGAACTCGTTTCTTCATGAGCGTTTGGAAAGTTTTACATGTTTGGAAGAACTGAGGATATCTGTCACACCCCAAAACCGGAACGGCGGAAATGTTCGGGGGTGGAGGACGTCATGTTCAGTATCACAACAATGCAAAGTAGTAAACAAGCAACAACATCATCCATTGAATTAATAATGTAATTTCATACAAGTGTGTTCTGTCAAGTTATATAGACACCAAAAATATACATCAAAATAAAAGAGGAGTCTTGTACGAGCTCCAGCTTCTGAAAAACATGGCACCGGTACCTGTCTACTGGCGACCTGAGAATACAAGTTATTTTGAAAGAGTTTATCAGCTTTAAAGCTGGTGAGATCATAAGTATATTAATGTCTGTAGTTGTATGAAAGTGGTTGTAAATCTGTAATTTGGATATGTTTGTAAAAGTTTGTAATTGTTTGAACTCCCCTAGAAAATCCTATATTTTCTACAAAAAGTAGCCTTCTACCAAGGCATCTAGTATATGTGTGTGTGTCTCTTGTAAGAGTTTGTATTTTCCCAAATCTGACTATCATTAACCAAAAATATAGTTTTTACATTATTGTTTATTGTGTGAATATCACAAAGTAAATGTAATGGGAAAATGAAATAGTACTGTAGTGTTGTATTAAGTAACTACTGCTGTACTAACTACCTTAAACCAATTGTTATTTAAAGTACCATGTGCTCGGCCTGTATCCTGCTACCGACTCTATAGTAAAACGACGATGTAAGACGTTGTAAGAAATGACGTTTGGCACCCGTAGACTTGCAAGTCCCACTGTAGCGAGCAGCAAGGTATTTGATAGTCAATCCAGTATAGATCTATACACAAACTCATACGCTCCCCAATTAAGGAGATTCTGGATACAAAAACGGTCATGACAGGTAGTGTCATGCCCCGTTAGGTGGCTCACATAACTGAAGTAATGTTCTAGTATATGTATGTGCTAGCTGTATTGTGTGTTCTCTCCCTGTCTAGCATGTATGTATGTTCTAGTATATGTATGTGCTAGCTGTATTGTGTGTTCTCTCCCTGTCTAGCATGTATTGTTTGCTTCTCATCATAGTATCTATTGTTTGTTTGTTATTGACTCATGTATGAACTGACTCATTGTATGTTTCACTGTTCTAGTAGTAGTATTAGCATCTCCCTAAACTATACCTATTATAGTTTACTAGTAATGTTGTTTATGTATATGAATAGGTGTGTATACCTTTGCTACCCAAAGGTATTGAACTGTATGAAAGAAGTAACCTTTTATATCTATATACATATACATAATATATAACTAGGACTCAAACGACCTTCAGACAAATAACCTTGATACCCTAAGTCCACAACCAAACAAGGAACAGGAAGTAAGGTAGACTATCAGTCCTAAGTCCTTTCAATCCTACTCATATAACTATATCTATATAGATACACAGAATATCAGTTAAAAGAGTTTAATAAAAGTATTTGACATGTAAAACAGTTTTAAAGTAAAACAGTTTGGTAACACAGTTTAAAAAGTAAGAAATCCATTCGTTTGGTAGCTATTAATCACATGTGATTGATATAATAACTATGATAGTTCAACTTGTATTCCCCCCATAAAAGCATTTAAAAACATTTAAAAGGTTAATTAAGGGGTATGAACTCACCTGCAGTGAGTGGTTTGGATGAACGGACTGTATAGGATGCTAAGTGTCAAGTGAAGACTTGTACACACTCAATGATCCTAGTTAACATATAATAACACATATATGTATCCAATTAGTCTTTAAACAACTAATTAACAAAGTTATGACATCCTAGGGCATGTTAAACACTTTATATAAGTGTTATAAGTGCTAAGGATTTCATCTAAGTGCTTGTGGGACATTGCTATTGAGTTTAGGGTTCAAGGGAACCCCTTACAGGAGTTTACGGTTTTATGACCATAACTCATTGAGTTTACGGTTTTCTGACCATAACTCATTGAGTTTACGGTCGTAAACCCATGAGTTTACGGCTGTAAACTCATGCTTTCTTGACCATGAGTTGTTTTGAAGCTCTACAAGTCCTTAGAAGCATTTCTACTTGAAGTATAAGCCTATGGAAGAGATTAGGGCACCATTTCACTCCTAAATGGAGTTTACGGCCCTAAGACCATTTCCCTTTGGGTTTACGACCGTAAATCCCTATGGTTTTGGTCTTTTGGTGTTTTCAAGTCCTAAACATATCAAGGAAGGGATCCATGCTAGTTTCCAAGGCTTAGGAAGGAATAGGGCACACATTGGCACCCTTTATAGGGTTTACGGTCCAAGAACATCTTGGACCGTAAACACCTTGATCTTGGAGTTTCATGGTTGATTTATTGATATATGGAAGTGTAACAAGCCTTAAGATACTCTAGGATAGAAGTACTTACAAGATAGAGGCTTGAAATGAGCTAAAAAGTCCAAGAACACTAGTGTGTGTTAATGGTGTTCTTGGTGAAACTTGAAGATCTAACCTTTTGGAATGATTTCATGGATGGAAGTGTGTTAAAACACTAGATTAAGCAATATATCAACTTACTAGGGCTAGAAACACTTACTAGATGAAGATCTTGAAGAAATCTTTGGATGATACTTGAGAGGATTTGAGCTTTGTTCTTGAAAGGTGGAAAAAGTGGTATAAATGACTAAGTGTCACTTATATACCCCCTTCCTTAGGGTTTACGACCGTAAACACCATTGTTGAGGCCGTAAACTCCAAACTTTTGGAGTTTTGAAATATTATTGTTGCACAATAAACCCTAGGGCATCCTCTCTCCTGATATCTCCTAAAGTGTTAATCCTAAAATACTCAAACTTAAACCAAAATGCCTGAAAATTAGCAGCAACTGTTCTGACTTCTATTGAATTGAAATGTTGTACAGAATAGAAATTTCGGGTTGTCACATCATCCCCCCCTTAGAAGGAATTTCGTCCCGAAATTAGAGTTTAAGCAAATAAGTAGTTATAAATAACTAAGTAAAAGGATGAGGATATTTCAGTTTCATCTGATCCTCTCGCTCCCAAGTGAATTCAGGTCCTCGCTTGGCGTTCCAGCGAACCTTCACTATCGGGATACGGCTTTGTTTCGTTTGCTTGACCTCCCGGTCCATGATCTCTACTGGTTCTTCCACGAAGTTGAGGCTCTCGTTGATCTCGATCTCGTCGAGTGGGATTACAAGAGTCTCGTCGGACAGACACTTTTTCAAGTTCGAGACGTGGAAGGTAGAATGTACGTTACTGAGTTCGCGCGGTAAGTTAAGTTTGTAAGCTACAGGGTCGATTCTTGCGAGAATCTCGAAATGCCCTATGTACCTTGGATTTAGCTTTCCACGCTTTCCGAAGCGTATCAAGCCCTTCCAGGGTGAGACCTTCAATAGAACACGGTCGCCCACCTGGAATTCCAATGGTTTCCTTCGTTTATCAGCGTAGCTTTTCTGTCGGTCTCTAGAGGCTTTCAATCGTTCACGAATCTGAACGATCTTCTCTGTCGTTTCCCGAATGATCTCCGGACCCATGAGAGTGCTTTCAGGGACTCGTCCCTTAGCTAACTGGGTATCACCCACCTCAGCCAACACAGAGGGGATCTGCACTTCCGGCCATAGAGGGCCTCGAATGGAGCTGCCTTTATGCTCGTGTGATAACTGTTGTTGTAGGAAAGTTCTACAAGGGGTAAATGAGTATCCCATTCTTTCCCAAAGTCGATCACACAGGCTCGCAACATATCTTCCAAGGTTTGGATAGTCCTCTCACTTTGCCCGTCGGTCTGTGGATGGTAGGTCGTACTCATGTCCAGCCTGGTTCCTAGGGAACTTTGTAACGACTGCCAGAACCTCGAAGTGAATCTACTATCTCTGTCAGAGATAATGAATATGGGAACACCGTACAGTCGTACAATCTCCCTTATGTAAGTTCTTGTAAGCTTCTCCATCTTGTCTGTTTCCTTGATAGGTAGGAATTGTGCGGACTTGGTCAATCTGTCAACGATGACCCATATGGTATCAAGTCCACCCGTTGTCTTGGGTAACTTGGTTATGAAATCCATAGTGATCCGCTCCCACTTCCATTCGGTATCTCCGGTTGTTGTAGAAGACCGGAGGGTTTCTGGTATTCGACCTTGACATTTGCGCAAGTAAGGCATTTACTTACGAAGGTAGCAATCTCTGCTTTCATGTTAGGCCACCAGTATAACTTTTTAAGATCCAGATACATCTTATCTGAACCTGGGTGGACGGAATAACGAGTGTTGTGCACCTCGTTCATGACCAAGTCTCTGAAACCACCGTGTTTCGGGGTCCAGATCCGATCCATGAAATAATAAGCTCCGCCACCCTTAACCTCCAGGTTCTTATCCATCCCTCTCAGGGATTCACCCGCCACATTTTCAGGTTTCAAAGCGTCGAGCTGAGCCTCCTTAATTTGTGTGGACAAGTGTGAATGGATAGTCATAGTCAATGATTTGACTCTACGACCAGAATATTCTTTCCGACTTAGGGCGTCAGCTATTACGTTGGCTTTACCC